TGGAACATGATCCAAGATTATGACCACAAATATGGGAGTATCCTGCTCGACAAACGTGATGAAATTCGAAGACCTAATATTACTATTGGTCTATATCAACATATGCTTTCAAATTATTCAAAATCGGGAGAAAAGCATCCTTGTAGTTTCCAAGCATCATGGTTTTAATTATGTCCATCATGGTTTAAATTATGTCCACCATGGTTAGAATATTCTCCAACCAAATATGCTATATTTTATCTATCATGCTATTTATTTCACATACCAAATTGATCTTTTGGATCAAATGCATTTATAATTAATGGATTTCGATCATGGAAAAAAGTTAGAGATGGTAAAAATTATGCATTCTTAGCGTATTATAGAAAATATCCCACTTCTCCTTATAGAAATATCGAGAAAGCATGCCAGGATCTTATAAATCAACCTTTGTATATTAAGAGAAAAATTATGAAATTTACTTTTTAGCAAATTATAGATAATCAACTTCGATAAAAAGCTTCAATTGATGTAACTCAATGGCTTGCATTTAGAGATCATGATGAGACCAAAACATCAATGAATCATGGAATTTTTCTTGAACTATTGAGTTTTATGACATCTTAGAATAACAGGATAGCGAAGTATTGAGTAAAGCTCCATAAAATGCCTTATACACATCACCAAGAGTGCAAAAGGAAATTTTACAAGTTTTAACAACTAAAGTAAAAAATGTTGTCTATGAAGAAATCGGTGATGTAAAATTTTATATAATTATTAGTGAAGCTCGAGATGAGTCTAAAAAGGAGCAAATGGCTATTGTATTAAGATTTTTTTGACAAAAATAGATATGTGCAAGAGTATTTTTTTAGGTTTACTCATGTAAAAGACATTACTGCATTAACATTAAAAGAAGGAAAAATTTTGTTCTCTCTCATTACGGTCTTGACATTCGAATATCGGAGGAAAAGATTATTATGGTGCAAGCAATATGTGAGGTGAATGGAATGGGTTACAAGCTCTAATTTCAAATGAATGCCCTTTTACATACTATGTTCAATATTTAGCTCATCATTTATAGTTGATAATAGTTGTTGTGTTAAAAATAAGCTATCCTTATCCATCATTTTTTCACCAAATTGAATTTCATCATTAATATCGTTGGAGCTTTATGTAAGCATAATAACCAACTAAAAGTTTCTCATGCTGTAAATATTGCTTATTTACTTTCCATTGGTGAACTTGAAAGTGGGAGAGAGCTTAATCAAGTTGGTGGTTTGTAAAGGGTTGGGGATACTAGTTGGAGTTCTCATTTAAAATCTATTTCTAGCTCAATGAATGTGTTTAGTTCAACTTGTGAAATCTTATCGCATATCATTGAAGATGGAGCTACAACTACTCGACTTGGAGACACAGATACAACTTATGAGGGATTAACTTCATTTGAATTTGTTTTTATTGTATATCTAATGAGAAAAATTTTAAAGATATTTGATTTGCTTTATCAAGCTTTATAACTTTGATCTCGTGATATTTTGAATGCACATCTAGTTTCTTCAACTAAGTTACTCATTCAAAAATTAAGAGATGAAGGATGTTATGAATTAATTTCAAAAGCAAAATCTTTTTGTGAAGCAATCAACATACCCATACCAGACCTAAATGCTTATTATGTTGCTAAAAAAGGAAGGGCTTGTCATCAACAAGATGCAATTACGATTGAGCATCATTACAAAGTCGATATATTCAATATTGTAATAGTCACAATTGTAAGAATTGAATAATAGATTAAATGATCACACGATAAAGCTACTCATTTTTATTTCGACTTTACATCCTAGAAAGATGCACGTATCATTTAGAATTGATGACATTTGTAAGTTGATGTAGAAATTTTACCCTCAAGACTTTTCTAATCATGAAATACCGCAATTAAGGATGTAATTTGAGCATTTTGATCATGTATGAAATCTTCTCGATTTCAAAACATTGTTAATTATATTTGATTTGTGTCAATAAGCTGATGAAGATAAGAAAATTTGAAAGTTATCTATTTTATGTATAGAGTGATAACACTTATTCTTACTCTTCTATTTTTTACAGACTACCATGAAGCGGTCATTTTCAGCTATGAGCATAGTCAAGACTAGACTTCATAAGAAAATGAAAGATGACTTTCTTTTTTATTATTTGTTAGTGTATATTGAAAAATAAATTGTTGAAAATTTTAGTATGGATTCGCTTATAGATAATTTTTGTGACTTGCAAGAATAAAGATATCTATTTTAAGTGATTGTATTTTGAGACTATTTTAAAATATATATTGGTATGCTATTTATAATATATATAAGTTTGTGTAAAGCATAAAAACGTTATAAATATTTATTTTGGCCTCCATAGACATTTGGTCTGCGTTTGCCATTGGTTAGGGCTCGCCTACTCAAAAGGAAAAAAATTAATTATGCTACTCTTATTGTAGGAGAATTATCAAAACGAGTAGTTGGTGTCTTGACAAATTGATATAGTTTTTCTAGACAAGGATGTTGATGGAGAAATATGCGATGAGCTTAAGTATAAATCCTTAAAACTAAGTATATATTTAAGACCTAAGTTGTTGTACCACTTCCTAGTTACTCTTATAAAAGTGGCGGGAATAATTTTACATATGGTGTTACTATTTTGGAGTACCAATTTAATAGTATTATTGACTTTTACACCTATTTTTGTGAATCAATCTTGCCATAATATGATTCCAGTTCAAACTATGAGGTGCAAATAGGGAAGTTTAAGTTCAAAAATTATAATTGTCTAGCTTTGATAGGTGGAGGATGGTAGCTTTTTCCTTGTCCATGGGTGTTTAAATTTAGGGCTCACCAAGGCACTTTAAGAGGTTAAGTTATCTTAATGGCATTATTTTTAGCAATTCCTCATGTTATGACAATACTCTAACATTTCCTTTTCCCTTCATTTTCATTGTCTATAGCTTTGGCTAGCTAGTCGTTTATCTTTATAATGAGAGTGACTCATTTAAGAGTTAAGTAGTGGCATTTTCTTTTTTGTCCTTTATTTCATTCCGCCTTCTTATTTCCTTTACAAGTAAGCATTGCCCATGTGTGTTTTGGTGAGGAGATGGTAAAGGCTCTTCTTTGCATTGTTGAGCTAAAACGGACACTTGTGGTGCTAACGATAGAGTAGTGAAACTTCGATATGCTCTTACATAGGTAAGAGTGCCTTTATCAATATATGAACTTGTTATAATTAGAGAAGGCTCATAGGTTAGGCACTTCATTTTCAGCTATGAAAAGACTTAGAGATTGTATAGTGAACTAGAAATTGATTTTTAGTTCAAGTTCCCATAGACATTGCCATTATGAGGTCGTGAACCTCGATTGATAATATGTGATCATAAGACTTTTCCTTAGCTAGTGCAATTGTGATTTTTTATGGTGGAAGAATATTAAGTTAGCTAGAATAATTGCAAAACAATTTTTTTTATGGGTTGAAGGATTCTTTGATGATTAAGCCAATGTGTGAAGGGAGATAATGGTTTGAGAAGACAATAAGTTAGTGATGCAAGTATTAAATAGACAATAAGTAGTGATTGTTAGTAAAGAGATTCAAAACCTTAACATGTTTGGTTGTTTAGTTGTTTATATAGCTAAGAATTTTGTCAAATTATATAGAGAGAGGAATATAATGGTCTATTCTTATGTTGTCAATTGTTTATAACATGCACTTAAAGAAAAAATGTTTTTGATGTTGACAACCTACGGTTGAGAGAACATGATGGCATCATAGTTGACATTAGTTTGACAAGACTGATTTTGGCTTCATACTCTTATTTAATAGATGCATAACCTAATTATTTTCATTTGATAGATTGGACTTGATAGATTGGACTTGATTGATTGGGCTTCGTTTGGAATGAGAATGTTTGGTATGCTTACAAGAGTGACTTAATAAGGTTTGCTTTTCAAGTGCTATATTTCGAGGTAAGATCATGTCTCCTTAAACATTTATCTTGATATAATTCCTTGATTTGCTAGGCATTAATACAACATTTTCATTCAAATATATCATTTAATATTATTTATAAGGTTAATAAACTCGGGTGTTGTTTGATAACAAAGAATAAAATTATAAGAATAAAATGGTGAAAATAAAAATAAAAGTTTTATTTTTACTTTATAGGTATTTGGTTGAAATGAATGGAGTGAGAATAGAAATAAAAATTAAACATAATTTTATTTTCATAGGGGATACGGGAATAAAAAATAAAAAATGTGAGTGAATGAATTTTTTTCATTCAAAATAGTGATATATTATTTTATTTTTTGTGTATTAACTATTTCTACCACCATCATTGATGGTAGTGATAATTTTTTTAAAAAATATTATTATTATTATTATTATTATTTCACTACCACTATCTTTTTTATTATACCACTATTGTTTTTTCTACTATCACATTTTATGTTAATGATATCAATTTTTTTTAAATATCTTATTATTATTACTACCACCATCACCTCATCCTCTTCCACAAACCACCATCACAATCATAACCATCTTTATCATTTTTACTACCATCATAGTTTATAAAATTATCTTTTAATTATTATTCTTATTTGTTTTAAAAATTAGATATTAAAAATTTTAAATTTTATTTTGATTTTTTATTATTAATCCAAATATAGTATGAGAATGCAAATGTTAATTCAATTTCTATATTTTTATTATGAATATTTTATTTTAGATAAGTAAATGACACCTCAAAACAATAAATTAATGTAGATTTAATTAACTTTTATCAAGTCAAAAAAAAAAAAAAAATCCAAGAAACTGAGGATCAAAATGCAAAAACATTCTACAAAAACACAACTCTTAACGTTACTTACGTTTTTACCCTTTGGAGCTTGTCTCTATATATAACAGAGAAGCCAAGATACCGCTTTCCTTGTAGAAACCCATTTACACTGCTACGGAATCCTGCCCGTCTCTCTCTTTAGTCTCTGCAAGCAATGGCAGGATCTTCAGTCAAACCCACTCCCCTTTTGAGAGATGAGCTAGATATAGTCATACCCACTATTAGAAACCTTGATTTCTTGGAGATGTGGAGGCCTTTTTTTGAGCAATATCACTTGATTATAGTCCAAGATGGTGACCCATCAAAGACCATCAAGGTCCCTGATGGTTTTGACTATGAGCTCTACAATAGGAATGATATTAATAGGATTCTGGGTCCTAAGGCTTCTTGCATTTCATTCAAGGACTCTGCTTGTCGCTGCTTTGGTTACATGATCTCCAAGAAGAAGTATATCTACACCATAGATGATGATTGCTTTGTAAGTTTTTTCTTTCCTTATATTTTGATGTGATATTTGCATACCTTTTGTGAGTTCTCTGTTTAAAGAAGGGTTTTTAGATCTAGCTTTGGTTTTTGCTTGACTTGACTCAATTTTGGTCAGGTGGTTCTATAAGGGTTAATTCAGTAGTTTTTGTGGTCTCCTGAATCATGAAAGACTTTTTTATTAATCCGTTTATTTGATCTGTGGGGGTATGGAGCTTGTAATATTATGGTAGATTTGGAATGTTTGGATTCTCGTTTTCATGAGACTCTGGGTTTCTGTTAGCTCTATACGGAGAAGCGATACAGGGGAGTTGATGGAATTTTGTGGTGGCGGTGGGAGTCTTGTACTTTCTGTTTGGAAGTCTGGATCTTGATGTGAGCTTTCTAATGAGTGTTTTTTTTTTCTGTTTGGTGTTATTTGTGTTTTGTTGAGTGTAAGTGGGTTTATTGTATAGATTTTGATTGCTTTCAACGACTGCATTTGCAGCTTAACAGTCCTCTTGCTTCTCTAGCTAAAAGCATAAAATGCTAAGTTTTAACATAAATCTTCAACACTGAGTTAGATCATATTGACTATCCTTCCGTTCACATAGAAATGTTAACTTTGGGGTCTTGCTGCAAGATATGAAACCATTGGTAACGATTCCTTCAATTTTAGGGCTGATTCGAAGTCCAAAATAAGAATCTTTCGACTGCATTATGCAAGTTCCGGTCATAAGGTCCTCTTCGGACAATGCCCTGTTTTTTACATCCTAAATAAAAGCTTGGATATTGCCTTTGTGCATGATAGAGGATCTGATAACAAAATGCCATCTCAGAAAGCCAGTGCTTTTGTCTTTACAAGCCCTTGGCTCGCTATGATGCCTACACAACTCATTATTTTTCTTGTCAGGAAAGCACAATGCTGCTGATGTTGTGTTTAATCTATGGTCTGGTAGCTAGCCATTAAGAAAAATGAAGAAATACACAAATGTGATCGAAACGAAAAAGAATGAGTAACTAGTTGGATGACGGTCGTGAACATGTGATTTTGATTCACCTATCATTCTTGTGAAATATTTTCATGTTTTGCTTATTTCTATGTTAATATGCAGGTTGCCAAAAACCCATCAGGTGAACAGATTAATGCACTCGAGCAGCACATCAAAAACCTTCTGAGCCCATCCACTCCATTTTTCTTCAACACTCTATATGATCCATACAGAGAAGGTGCAGACTTTGTTCGTGGATATCCTTTCAGTCTTCGAGAAGGTGTTACCACTGCTGTTTCTCATGGCCTCTGGCTTAATATCCCTGATTATGATGCTCCCACCCAGCTTGTGAAGCCTCTTGAGAGAAATAAACGGTATTTAGATCTCAACTGGAAGTTAATATGATTACATCCTTCCTGTCACGTGATTAACAATGTGGGGGATTTGACCTAATTTATTAATTTCCTTTTACATTTCAGATATGTTGATGCTGTTCTGACAGTACCTAAGGGAACTCTTTTCCCGATGTGTGGTATGAATCTGGCATTCAACCGTGAATTGATTGGACCAGCTATGTATTTTGGGCTCATGGGTGATGGTCAGCCAATTGGACGTTATGACGACATGTGGGCTGGCTGGTGCATGAAGGTGCCATTCCTGTGAAATTTCCTTCTCTTTTCATGTTTTGTTTTTATCAATGTCTTCTTGATCACAATTTCATCCAAACTCTTTACTTTTCACAAATTTCCGATGAGTTAGGATTTTTGATATATTAGACTAAGAATTAAGTAAAACAGTTGTTAGTTAAATCCTAAACTCCTGCTCTAGGATTTCTGGACATCTCAAGAAAATGAGGATTCCATTCTGTTTAATTGAACTCTTATCATTCTTCTGTGGATTGAATACAGTCATGAAAGAAGTCCCAATAGATCAGAGGATCCTACGCACTGTGAATGATTAAGCTCCCCTCCCCCTAATTCCATCTGTCCACAATGCTGGCATCATATATTATGGATACAAACTGTCTTATTTTATTTGGATACAATGATTACGCCCTTTCCCCCTAATTCCATAGAGGTTGCTATCTACAATGCTGGCATCATATATTATGGATACAAACTGTATTATTTTATTTGGAGCTGCGCGTGTGAACCACTAGTTTTTGGCGGTTCTGATACCTGGTAACTACATGATTTGAGAGCTGTCTCATTTGAATGGTTAAACTCATTTACTGTACTGCTGAACTTGCAGGTCATATGTGACCACATGGGATGGGGAGTTAAGACTGGTTTGCCCTACATATGGCACAGCAAGGCAAGCAATCCATTTGTTAACCTCAAAAAGGAGTATAAGGGCATCTACTGGCAGGAAGATCTGATCCCATTCTTCCAGTCTGCAGTTCTTCCCAAGGAATGCGTCACTGTTCAACAATGCTACATCGAACTCGCCAAGCAGGTCAAAGAGAAACTTGGCAAGGTTGATCCCTACTTCATTAAGCTAGCTGATGCCATGGTCACTTGGATTGAAGCTTGGGATGAACTCAACTCTTTGGAGGATAAATCTTCAAAGCAACCCAATGGTACCTCAAAGTAGAGGATTCAACACAGCATTATAGCCTTTCTAGTTCTAAATCTGGAAGCTGTTTAGCTGTACCTTTATCATGGTCGTAGTGGTCATCATCATCATTATTACATCATTATTATTTATTGCATATTTTTTTGTTTTTTGAGTTGGAAGTTGGAGAGCATTCCTAGTGCTTAGGTTGTTGCAACCTTATTCTACTACATTGGTATCCGCTTTAGCGATTTCAGATTTGAAATTGAATTTGTCGTATTGACTCTACATTTGTTAGGGGAATGATTGAGATAGGTTTTTTAAAAACTTGTGGTGGGCCAACAATTTGTTTCCTTTTTTATTTTTGAGATGATGTCATTTTTGGGCAGAACCAATTTGAATTGAAACTCGACGCAAGGGTACTCGAAATTTAACTTTATTGTCCCGGTTCCTAGAAAAAGTTAAAAGGGGGATTTAGATTAGAAAATGCTCTGCTTTTGAAGTTGGGCATGCATGCCTTGCCTGGAACTATTGAACATGATCAAGAACTTGGAGCTCCACTGGTTAGTCACGGCCTAGGCTGGCATTTTTGTCGGCTATCAAGGGACCTGTTCTCGTTTGGATTTTTCCTTCAACTCTTGGAAGACAGTAGTTTCATTTAACTTCAACAGGCATCATACGGCAGGAGTTTCTTGTGAGCAAGGACGCACAAACTGACAAGAAAATTGAGAATTTTTTTTTTTTTAGATAAAGAAATAAAAAGGAAATGGCTTTTGGTCACAATTTACATCAAATTGCAAAACGTTCATTCAGGTTTCCAAGACTACACCATACGTTTTCATCAATATGTCAAAAGATCTCATGTTATTGATTCAATGAATTGAGTATTTGTATTTTTTATTTGAGTAATTGAGTACTGTTTGTCTAAATTAAAAAAAAAAGAAAGAAAAGAAAAAATTGCTCAATAATAAAGGTGCAGTGAATGATGATATTACTAATAAGAAGTGAGTACTATTTATCGAACTTGAAAAAAAATTACTCAATAACAAAAATATGATGAGCGATGATATTAATAGAATAAAAGTAAAGTTGATAATAATAAATTATGTAGTGAAGAAGAGTACTCAATTAACTAAGATATATTTTCAATTTTTAAAAGTTTACTCAATTGATTGAAATTCAAAATACATACGTTAATTGACTGAATTGATAATAAATTTTTAAAAAAGAATTAGTGAAAACACAAAATTATAAAGAATAGGATTAGCCAAATAATCAATAGAAATTATTAATATAGAATGAACAAGGAGAGACGCATACACATGAGAGAGAATGATCCGACGATTTTGAATTTCGACTTCATATTCCGATGGTGGACATGCAATAGCCAATAGGGCTGCAAAAGTCACTATACTATGTAGTGCTGTCCTATAATTTTAAAAACCGGCTAAAGAAAGGAGTGGGCCTGTTTGGTCGACAATATCTGCTGCTCTGTTTGTAATGCTTATTTTTGGTTTTCCAGATCGATCATAAGTTTTTACAATTTCTGATTCCCAACCATGTTAGTAAATTCAGTACCTTGGTGGTTTTACCAGATATTGGAGTCATCACCAAGATTATAAATGGTAGAAAGCAGGCAGTAATTTAAACTACCACAATAATATCTGGTTCCATTAGAGGCCCATGTCACCTTCAAATCCTCAATCTCTGGGGGTTAAAACTTCACCAGACTGATTTAACTAACTAGAATAATGATACCATACAGATCTTATCTGGGAAAAGCAAACTACTGGCAAGAATAGATTAGCAGAAATAAATGCCAATAAGCAGTAATGTATGAAAATGGTAATTTGTCAATTCAGATACTCATGCACTTTATCATATGTATATTTACTTGAATAGGAATGAATATAGGGTGGCATAACTTTCATTGGTTATCCAGCAAAAGCAAAAGGGGACCTCAACTCTTTACATTTGTGAGCAATGGGACGTCAACCTTGTAGGAATTTATAGATCAGCACTCAAAAAGGATCAGCTGTTAAGTTCAATTCTCTACCCAGTTCACTCACCAACTGTGATAGAGTTGAAGAGAATGCAACATGTTAGCCTATCTCATTCATTTGCTTGTTGTGACCGTCGATAAACCAGCACCTGTCCTTTGTTACCTGCTACTGAAATGACTCCTGGCTTCGAATTGTCAGTAGCAATACAGGAAATACTTTCACCTGGTGACAGAGAATTGATCAAATAATTATTATAACAAAATAAAAGCAGCCAGTAAATAATATCTGAGCACTAACGCATAAAAATTCAAAGTTCACTGGACTCAAGTTAGGTTTCACAACCAAAACCAATAATTCAAGTGTAGATGTTACGAGCATGCAGAATTGGTGTTGAAAATGATTCTGTAATTAAAAGAGATTTGGAAGGGTAAAGAATTCGTACCATGAGATCATGCGCATTGTGCAAGGGATGGATACACAAGGTATGGTATGGAACACTTTTCACAATTTATTTTTAGATCATTATCCAATCAATTTGATATAATGGGATAGCAAAAAATACAAGCCTGTGTTACTCAATCTGAAGTATACCTTCGAAATGGTGCAGAGTGCCAAGTTTAGTCCCTGTCGTCAATTCCCACATATACACATGTCCATCAAATGTGCCAATGATCCCATTGCCAGATGACAAACCAATAGCAGCAGCCCTGCACGGTGCTTTCCGATGTCATACTTACGAAAATTTTAACACCTGACTCAATGTCTCAGATAATAGAAAAAACTTCTGGAGATACAGCTCAGGCTAAATAAAAAGCATGCCTATCATAAACCACAAACAAATAATGGATTCCATATGTTTCTAATTCCACAAGTAATCAAAGTGACTTCTAATAAAATGAAGAATCGCTTCATCTTACTAATTCAGCCATTCATCTTGAATATGCCTGATAAAAAACAATGGATACTAATATATTGCTAAGGGCATGGTGGATATTTCACTGAAACTGAGACATTCCCAGTGTTTTCCACAAGCATTTAACCGCAAAAAAATATCTTCATATGCCAAATCATTAACTTAAAATGGAAACATGATCACTAATGGTAGAGAAAAAAATGAAGCAAACATTCTTCAGAGACTCTTCCGTAAGGTCTTCAAGTGCTTTAAACCTGCATTTCTACAGTCTACCAGAAGGGAAATAAACACAGCAAATACCTCGCAATGTTTGGAGAAGAGGAATATGATTTCAAACTTAAAGAACAAAAGTGTGGGCACCTTGGATCCAATGCACTTCCCAAGATCAACATATTTTTCACCAGTAGAGCTAGCCTCCACCATCCAACAGGATTTACACCGGAATCACTTGCTATATAGTCTTCTTGAGTATCCAACTCGGGGTTGGTTGAGACAAGAAGCCAGATGGCAGTATCTTCCCCGTCTAATGTAGGTAAGGAATGGTACTCACTGTTCTCTGAAAACTGCAATTTTGTTGCATCTATGATTCCATTGATCTGCTCCTCCACATTAGAGTAGTGGAAACCATGGACTTCCCTTTGCCAACTAAACAAACTAATTGGAAAGAACTGGCAATATGAAGCACTTGGAGAAGAGAACCTAGACATGAACATGCGCTTTGAGACATCCCTGGAAGAGAAAAATGCACCGGGGGTGAAGATAAAAGGAACTTAATTTAGAAACCTTGAGCAAACACAAATGGCTTTTAGCTTCAGATAAACAATCCAAGGCAGACAACATAAAAATCATGGTAGAGACATATAATGTGTAATCAAATATCAAGTTGGGAGAAATTTCAAAATTTAAAGTTTCACAGGACACTGCTAATTACACACATTGTCGCCACATCAACAAACTTTAAATCAAAGAAGATATCCTATCAGCAGCATACCATACAGTAAATTCCCCAAAGCCGTTATGCCCAATGACTAGAGAAGCGTAGTTTGGAATTCTCTTCAACTCAGCTATGCAAGGGGATATGTAATCATTGGCTGAAATGACAAATTCTTCTGTTGGTGCCCTGAAAGTTTTGGAAAAAAATAAAATGAATACAGTATACAAGGAGAATAGATAGCCAGATCAGAAATTTTCAACTCAAACAAGCAATATCAAAGCTAATTGTCAAGAATCAAGTCACTCAAATAGCATTGCAGGGACTTAATGAATTGTATATGCTTTCATTAAGTTTGAAGTTTTAAACAGCAGCTAATCTCAGTAAAAAGATGAACACATTAGCATCAATGTATCCAAAATTCTCGAACCACTTACTAAGAAAAATATGACAATTGTCATGGAAAAATCTCAAAATCATGAACCTCTTAAGGACGGCATATATTGGTAAAGCTCTGAACCAAATACTACTGGAATAAATATAGAGGACAAGCATTTAGAGTAACCAGCTTTTCCTCTCATTGAATCACGCATGGAGAATTATGTCATAATAATGACCTCAAAAATCAAGAAGCACCTAGTTTGGGTGAGAACAGCAAAAGTAATCATTTCCAACATGACTTGCATCAAACACTGGTATTACAGATTAGTACAAATGTGATCAAATTATAAAGTAGTAAACGCCCAGAAGCAAATGAATTGTATAAGAGAAACCAGTTGACCACATTGAGAAAACTATTCTAAATTAAACATTTCAGAATCAACATAGAAATCAAACCATATGAATAGCTCAAGGAATCGAAGTAAAACTATATGGACATTAATCAGTAAAACTTACTTCCATGCCAAGTTCATGGTCCAGAGATGCAGTCTCCCACTCTCTCCAGCAGCAATGAGATGGTTAGGTTCACAGACCAATATACACTGCACGCTATCAACTGTTCTCAATTTTACCAGGACTGAAACATATCCAGTTTTTACTTGCACAATCTTCAATGTACTTTGCTCAAAGCAGTTTGATGTGCATGTTGAGCACATACAATCTGTTTTTCCTTCCCTGACAAAATATATGGCATATTAGAGCCCAAACCTTACTTCCATTGCATATAATCTTTTCTATAGTATAAATCCATGGGAGTAATCAACCTGCAATAAGGTGTTTTCATGTTGCCAAGCAAAACAAGGTTCTGCCCATCTGGGGTGAGTTGCATGCCAGATCGTTCAAGTGCAGTCTAGTGGAGTAACAACAGAGTCAAAATTATGACAATAAGTAGCAAGCACAAGAACCAAAGAATTCGATCAATATCAACAATGCATCTATAACTTACTTCTCTACCAAAGATATCTGTTGAAGATGGAAAGATTACCGATGTGTGGCCAACAAAAGAAGGGCTCCCTGTCCTTGTTTCTTCAATTGCTAGCTTGTACAGAAACAGGGTTCTGTTTTTATCTAACAAATGGCCACACAGAGCACAAACATTGATTTTATCTCCTTTTGTAACCAACAAAAGAGACAAAACAGGCATAGGGTGAAAATAGCACCCCACAAGCTCAATGACGCCCTCTAGTTCATTGTTAAGCTTCAAATTCCTGTGTAGTTTCAGGTCTGAATTCGTCTGAACTTCCTTGACACTGGATGTATTATTGCAAGAGAATGCCGTTCCTTGTTTCAGAGATAATACTGGTCTATTTGCATCTGAAGTATTCTGGCTCACAACCAGCCTGGCTTCAGAACAAGCATGTGGTTTTTCTATTTGTGAAACAGGAGGAGCAAGAGGATTTGAAGCATCTTCGCCCGTGGAAACACAGGAAACTGTTCGAGTTTGTGATGTAAAAGGTGAAATACTCTCCACTACAGGGTTGGGACTAGTAGTAGTTTTGTCTATGTGCAAGCCGTTGAAGTGGTCTCCAACCCTGGGTTCAGCACCAAAACTATCATTTTTATGTGGTTTGTCCACAGAAGAGCTCATCTGGAAAGTCTCTAAGTTAGGCAAAGGTCTTGTAGTTTCTGGGATAGAACCATCTCTCAAATTTCTACATATTATACCTTCTGAGAATGAAGCATTACATTTTCTTGTTGAAGATGCTGCTTTTGACACCCTTTTTCTGGTATATACCTTTTTCAGCACTTGACCAGTAGATGAATTACCCAATTCAGTAGTCTCAGCCTTAACACTGATGTCATTCCTTGATAATTGCACAGAACTGCTTAAGCCTCTTTGGCTCATATCACTTTTAGTAGCCACTGCAAGTAAACAGCCAATATATGGTTTAGTTGAAATTTAACATCAAATGTATCTGAAATAATAAAATTACTGAAGAAGTTCAGACTTTAAATTGGTTCATATACAGCTTTGAACAAGCTTTTCTGCATGTGCATTGATTTGCATATACAAAGTTCTTGCTCAAATTGGTAACAATTCCAAGATAAGCAGTTTATGAAGAGAAAGAAATGACATGGAAAGGGCACGTATTTTAATTTGGAGGTCAGTAAGGAAATAGGTGGCTTTTTCCATAGGCTAGACTGCAGTTCAGTGCCCCCATTATAAGTTTAGTTTTGAGCATAATATCAGCAAGTGGAACTGATACGGAATTAACTGGAAAGGTTGACACACATTACCATCATTGAAATCAGTTGCAGATTCGAGATCTTTTTCCCCAGAAAGGAATGGGGAACCTTTGGACTTTTCATCCAATTTTTTGCAAAAATCGTGATTTTCTTCATACAGAACATTTTCATTGGCAGACTTGCAGCCAGAAACAGATTCATAAGGGTATAGATTACCATCCTGAGGTCTTTTACCCAAAGCCAATTGCACTTCCTTGTCACAAAAGATGTCTTTAATCCCACCAGTGTCAACCTGACAAACTGACGACTCCATCGCATCTACATTAGCAAACTGCTCCACTCTGCAGGGCGGACATGCGTCCGTATCAAAACAGGGTTGATCAGCCTCAGCAGTGTTCGAGGATAATATTCGCTGGTTTGTTACAAGAACCCCACATTGGTCATCATCGAAACTGTCAAGAACAACAGACTTCACATGTTCAGAACCTGGGAGAACTGAACAACATACACCAGGAGATTGAGCCTCGACAAATTGGCCATTTTCATCATTATTTTCCAGAGGTTTTGGTGTACCAGGCAAATTCTCTGAATAACTAATGGTTTTCGTTTTCTTTCTTGAATTTTTTTTGAGGAGAGGTATTGCTTGTGGTAGCAGAAGTGTCATCATTGACTTGGCTACATCTTGACCTACTGAATCAAAATCACTTCTTTCAGAACTTCCATTTGAGTTGGGGGTGCCTATCACTTCTTCTGGGTGTGATTCAGTTACCAATCCTTGAGAAATAATGGCCTCAGTCACAAGGAACTCTTCTTTCACACTGCAAGTACTTTTATCAAGGGTGGCTTGAGCAGAATTTGTAATATAACCTGCATCAAATCAGTGTCAAAACACAAAAACCGGGGATGTTTCGAGAAGATGATACATCACCGAAAGTTGACCAGGAGAGAGCTTAGGCACTCACATTTCATCAACTCAGGAAAAAAGCAATGGAAAAGTCAAGGAATACCTTGCACAAATTCTAAGGTATCAGGTGCACAAAGATCAACATCGTGGACACATTCAGCATCTTTTGGAGCTGTCGCATCTCCATCTTGGCCTTCCCCGAACATTGTAAAATTCAACCCTTCCACTTTAGCATCCAGTGACCTATCAAGCTGTTACAAATTAAGAATGTTGCTCATACTAGACCAATTTGACTAAAGAAACATGATTTTTTCCAACTACTGGGAGAAACGAAGAATTTTCTAAATAGGGATACAAAAGAATGGGAATGGCTTGGCTCACTAATGTAAGCACCCAAAATACTGTAGAAAGGTAGCAGGAAAGAAAGCAAAAACTCACAAGTTATGTACATGTCTATCAATTCATTAGTGTCAAAGGCAAAAAGGTTTGGAATCAATGAGTGAAAAGGCACTAACAAGTTTTTCTTCTACAGACCAGTTGACGACTCTAGTAGTGGATTTAGAACTTTCAGATCTAGCAAGCCTGCTTTCTTCAAGGCCAGGCGCAGCTTTTTCTGTAAAATGATCAGAGCAGTCAACTGACTTAAAGGAAAAACCATCTTTGGCTGATGAGTGACTGGTGTCTCCTCCAGCTACAGGTTTTACGCACACTGCAGTTGACGATGTTCCTGGAAGTTTACAAGATTCCTGCTCTTTGTTAAAACTAAAAGTAGAGGGAAGCAAGGACCTCCGTTGCTTGTAATTTTCATGTGCTGAATTTGATGGCTCGGCAACATACATTGCATCTTCAGAACAGGATCTTTTAAAGCCAGCAGTACTTAATGACTCAGGATTTGTAATTTCTCGTCTCTTACTTCTCTTCCCCTTGACCTGTGATCTTGCCAAGTAGGGTAGTAGATCGGGATGTGTGAGTGCATCTGGAAATTGGTTGTTTTGCTCTGTTCTAGAGACCCCATTGCAGAAGCTGGGGGATAATAGGTTTTGTTCTGCAATTCCATTTATATTTGCCACCAGTTCTCGAAGTAACCTCTGGACAAATGGATTTTTGAACCCAAAAAACTGCATTATTCATGTATAAGAGAAGGAAATGTTTAGCACAAAATGAGGTTATTTCCCTATTTTGCAATAGATGGCAGAGGAAATAGAGGAAGTAAGTCTCCTGCTTACAAGGAGACTGATCAGTCAAACACCATGCAGCTTGATGCTTAATACAAAGGACACAATCAAGAAGGTATAAACAATTTCTAGTTATATTAATGAAGTAATCAGGAAGAGTCATTGATTTCACTAGGTGCAAGCAGTAGAACAACACGAGAACCACTGAGATGCCAGCTTACTGAAAACTGAGGTTATGTATTTTAAAATTTTTGGAACGTCTTATACCAGTCAAATGTAACTAATGTGAGCATTAAGGCATGTTAGCTACAAAGGTTAACTGCTTATATTAGATATGAGCCAAGCTTATTCCAGTTTCAGTGAAATGGATATCACTCATATCAGAACATGATAAAGGTTCTACTACAACACTAGTTATTTGCAACAAATGTAATTTCAAAATTGAGCTGATTTGACAAAGGAACCAAGATTTACCTCTATGCCATCTATCTTGCATGAAAATCTTTTTCCATGCCAAACCTTTGTGCGAGGGCAACAATTCTTCTGAAATTTCTGCCACGCAATATCAGGAGTTTGACCGGAACATGAATATCCATCAGTGGAAGTAATCTGCAGCAGTACCATATTCATCATTCTTATCTTTCTACATTTTCATAAAACTAGCTAAGAATGGTAAAAACCACAAGAGCAAGGTACAAACCACAAATAAAGGCCCTTTAGGACCTTCATGAATTTCCATCTTATAAGCTCTCCCATTGTAAGCTCGACGAGCTTGGTATCCAACAGGATAAGGATACCGATCTTTACCCTACAAAATAACATAATTCAGCTGACCAAACAGATGACAAATTAACACGGATTGCCCAATCTGTTGTAAACTAGAGCAAATGAAATTGAATCAACTAATAAGCAGCTTAAATTAAAACTAGTTGAATCAGATCTACCTCCTCCACATTTAGAACCATTCAACGAATAATCAAATATTTGCAAAATCTAATTGAAATAACCATAATAATCTAACGGTTAAGAAAACACCAATTCAGTTCATTTTAAGTTCACTATATAGACAGGAACTAAGGGGAAAAAAACCAAAAGATGTTGAAAAGGAATTAAGACGTTGCTGGATTAAACTCGATTGAAATTTAAATATTGAAAAGGAAAACGAAATAACGAACCCTAGACAAGCTCCAGTACTTCTTGTCCCAAGAGCCACCTTTATAGAGAGATCCAACAGAAATTAATTCAAGACCGTCTGCTTTCTCCGCCTCCGTCTCTTGATGTTCGCCTTCCTCTTTTAGATTAGATTTCGCCATTCAAAAGAGAAGAGATCAAATGCAAAATTACTTAGTATAGAGAGGAGACGGTACTGATTGATTGATGCAAGGGGGAGAGGGTTTTGATGGCGGGAGTGAAAGTCACAAGTTCCCTCCACTGGCTGGCCAGATTATTTTTTGAAACAAAAATAAAATAAAATAAAATAAAAATGAGAATATAAAAATAAATGAAAAAATTTCGCCGTTGCCGGGGATCGAACCCGGGTCACCCGCGTGACAGGCGGGAATACTCACCACTATACTACAACGACCTGGTTGAGGAAAGTGTTTCAAAACTTCAATAGTATATAATTGATAGTGTTTTTACTCCCCCTCACACCAATTCCAGTTATAATGGTTGTGATGATTTCACAGTGAAAGATATTTATGAGCAAGCATAATCGAATCATGCTAAATTTATGGTTACTTGTCATTTATTTTGTTTTTGATGTCACAGCATCTAGCTAGCATGAGTACCTATAGTTTATCCTGGACATGCACTAAAAATTGATTGAAAATTTGTGTACAACTTAATAATGAAGAGTGTTGTGGTCTTGAAAATGATGTTGTACGTATGTTGATGATCAATGAAACTTTTGCTTCTGGTGGAGTAATTTGAAGGCAGAAAATATTGCTCCTCCCTAATGATGATTGTGGATTGGTAATTACAAGCTTTGAAGATGAAGAAATCCAATTTGATTTGAGGTTGAGTTTTTGGAATTTGTATCAAGCTCTACTTAATTAGTGAGTTTTTCTATATTATACTACGAGATTCTTTATTTGATGTAATTTCCTAGTTAAATGACATTTGGTACGAGGTTTAAAAAAGGAGGATGAATCATCATTACAAGAGCAAATTATTTGGTAGGTAGGAAGATAAAAAACTTGTGCTCCAGTTGAGATTAATCTGAAGCCCAGGCAATCCTTTTAATGATCGATATATATGTTCTTGCAAAACATATCAATACATAAGCTAAAAACACAATTAAAGAACAATTCTTTTTATATAGTAGAACTTTGATATCATATACAGAAGCTTAATATCAAATGCTTGACTTGTAAAAAAAAATAAATACAAATGAATGACATAAGGAATCTAAACATTTATAATCTTGCAAAACTCCAAGATTTATTCATTTTCTACAGGATTTTACACCAAAGTTTTTCTTGGTTTAAAACAATTCCTCTGATTTAAGAATCTCTAACTTTAATTTTGAAAACTTTGAATTAACTGCGTACAAACTCAAAGGGCAGCTCTAACAAAAGCTGAAAAGATTTTTCTAGGACAGATGTTAGATATGAACAAAAACGAATACTAGTATAAAATATCCAAAAGGGATGCAGAGTGGTTAGAAAAAGAAAACTACTTTTGAAAGAAAAGAAAGAAATATATATGAGAAGTAGAGATATTAGATGATGAACATGCATGGAAATGGAGATGTCTAATCTGAATTTCCTTAAAGGGAAGAGAAAGAGGGTGACAATAGATCTAATGATTGTGTCCAAATCCGTTAATGAACAAAACTATATGTGTGAACTGGTCTGGTAAGCTGGTTCAAGGAGATTAAAGATTGAGAAAAGGAAGACATGGAATCTCGTTGAATGGAAACAATGCCATCCCATGAAAATCTGTATCAGTCTGATCCATAGGTAGCAAAAAAGATAGATAGCCGAGGCAATGAATTCGTATGCATCGGACTAAGGAGTGACCTCGAGGGTAAAAGACACCTAGCTAGACCTAGACCTAGATGGAGGAAGCCGATCGATTTATACCAGCAGAGAAAGGTTAGGATACCAAGTGTTACTATAGCTTTTTTTCCATGTTTGGAAATTGAGGAATCGTCCCATCACATAAAAAAAGACACAAAACCCATCTCCTATATATTTTGATTTACTAGTGTGACTGTGACATGAGCTTTAGCTTCTGTATCTTTCAGACTTACCTTATTTAGCACTGCACCCACAAAAGATGGAAACCATGCAGGTTACCCTATCTTCACTATCTTTTTCACTCCTTCACGCTTCTCTTAATATGTTTTGGATGGACACTTCTTAATTTTTTACTATCTCCACTCTTAGCCAAGTTATACAAGATCGCTTTATACGCTAATCAGGTAATTAATGTGTACTTAGCCAATTAACTTCGGCTTACTCATCATCCTTAATAAAAACCGAGGTTTTACATAATATAACTTGACAGCAATTAAGAGCTTGAAAATTGAAGTTTTTCAATCATAGGTATCTTCCTTTTTTATGAGGGAATTCTTCAATTATATAACGTGTTGAAGTACATATAAAAAGGGAAAAAAATAATAAGATAATGCTGGACGATTTTATTGTCATAAGCTTTTTTTCTTGAAGTATCTCTATTTCATATTAGAGATAAAATTAATTTTGTTTGAGGAAAAAAGAGATAAAATTTAATTTTTTCAACAAGTACAAATTTAAGATTCAAATTTCTCTCAACAAATATGGCTATAGAATTCGAATTTTACACATTAATTAAAAATTCATTTGAAAACCAACTCATTCATCATTAAACCAACAACTTATTGTTATCACTATATAGGGTAATTTTGTAAATTCGATCGAATTCCCAAAGAAAAAGAAAACATTTAATCGGGTCTCTAAAAAAACAAAAGTTTCTACTTATATCCTTTGCCCAAATCATTGAAAAATATTAAAATTTTGTTGGGTGTTATTGGATCTTCTCAATCCCAAAAACTAGCTCAAAGAGTGACCATTTTCCTTACACTTGTGACCAAGCACCAATAACCCAATAATCTCTTCTTTCACACTTCTAGTCTTAACGTTGATTATTTCTCATCGACTTATATGATCCCGATATATGAAAAATTATTTAACTTGGGTTTTGATAACAATATTGAGTGTTATTGGACCTTTTTAATCTCAAAAATAACAAAAGTTAACTCTAAAAACTAACTTAAAAAATAATATTTTCTCCCAAACTTACAACTAAATATCTAACCTATTTAACAATCGATATGTCATAACTTAAAAAATATTTTATTTAAAAAAAGCATCATTTTGTTGTAGATAATGAAATTTCGACAAAATTTCAATAAAGGATAGATATGGCTAAGATAGGGAAGTAGTTTGTTGATTAATTTAACTTTTCCAATATTTCAATGTATCACTTTTAAATTAGGACTCATAAATTAAGTAGTACGTTATCTTCTTTTTTAAAAAAAAATAAAAGTATTTTCAACTAATTTTTATGTATCAAGACTGTATTGTGAAACCTCACTTTTTAGATTTTTATCTTCTTTTTTTTAAAAAAATAAAAGTATTTTCAACTAATTTTTATGTATCAAGACTGTATTGTGAAATCTCACTTTTTAGATTTTTTAAGATTCTAAGATTTTAAGCATTAGGATACCGTTAAGGGACAAATAATGTACTCTCATCCATTCTAAAGACATTTTTTTTTTTTTGTTTATATATGTCCAAAATGCTTATTTGGTCAAAATTTTAAATAATATACTTTTCTAAAGTACCTCTAATTGATAATAAAAAAAATTATTTTTTTTCTTCCACTTACTCTATGTTAACAAAATATTAATATTTTTTATATTTTTTCTTTATACATACAAATACTTTTAATGTAAAATTTAAAAGAAAAATATTTTTGTTCCATAAAAAATATTCATTCTTGTAGAAACTTTACTGCATGCGAAAATTTTAAAAGTAAAATATTTTAGTTAGTATGTTATTTTTTTATAATTGTTTTAAACTTTGTTAATTAGCTTAATTTTTTTTATTTACCACTTTAATTTTGGGTAGAGTTTTTAATTAATATTTTTATATAATGCATGATTAAATTGATAACTAACAATTTTAACAAAAAAATATATATTTTAGAAAATATGAAAAAAAAAAAAAAAACTAATCTGGTATAATAATTAATTATTTTTTAAATTGTTAAAAATGTTAAAGGGTACGATGTTTCTGGGAGATCATAATTAGTAGTATGTTGTTTTTGGGAGATCAAAATTTCCAAGATTATAATAGTATTAGGGGTTCCGCATCGGGGACAAATGATAGGTTATTAATTATTACTATCAAGATTGGAAAGGGGACAATAATATAACTGGTAACATGTAAACAAAGGAAAATAATTTGAAATATCATGATTTTTACAAGAATTAATCATAGATCGTGCATGATATCTCTCTTTAAATTAAATTACCACTAATAATCTACCAATTACACAAGTTAAATAACTTCTGTTTCTGTATGGATCCATTTTTGATAAATTCTCGAAAGCATTCTAGTAAATGCTTGATCAGTTAAGGACTTTAAATAGCTACACCAGCTTTCAATGTGTATGTCGACCTAGCTACAAGACACAAGTAACGATTGCAATCAATATTTTTCAATAATGTTACGGTGGATGCTGGTGTTGATTTTTTGTGAAACCTAAAGGCATAGAGAATTGATTTGACAACATCATGGAAAACCGCACAAAAATTTATAAAATTAATTGATTTCGTCCTTTTTTTAATAAAACAAAATTGCTTAATTTTGTAACTTTTTTTTTAATCTGGTATATTTAAGAGAATAATTCTTTAATTTTAGTTTCAAGTTTGAAATTGTGAACAAACTTCCTTAACCATTAGACTTATCTATAATTTGAGGTTGATTAATTTAATAATTATAGTTATTTATGATAAGAGGCAACCGTTTATACCACACGAGACTAGATAAATTGTGTTGTATAACTAAATGCATATGAAGTGAGATTTATGATTGATTACTACTTCAAATTGAATTGAATCAAAATATCAATTTCTGATATGATTTTTAATTTAAAAATTAAAAAAAAATCAAAATTTTTTCTAATTCGATTCACTTTAAACTGATTTAGTTAACTGAAAACTAATTAAAATTGTTCAAAATCAAATAAAAAAACCGAATAGTCATCGCTTCTGGCTAGAGTACACAGTGATAAATGTTTACTGTCTGAGCATCAAAAGTACGTACGTAAAAGAGAAAACTCAGCTCTGCAAAATGAAGTAGTGCAAGTACTATGAGCCTATGACTACAAGTAGTAGCGATAGATTTTCTTTTTGACGCTTAGCCACTTCTACTCCCATTATTGAAGCACCCCTCTTGTTATTATATACTCTCAAACCCTAGCTATAATCTTCTTATTGTTGCCTCTCAAAGGAATCCTTCACTTCAATCAACCATCTCTTCTTTATAATCTTGTTCTTTCTTCTTGCTTGACAATGAACCTAGAAGAGAAAGTCAACCCAGAAGTTCCATCATCTGAGCATCTTTGCTATGTTCGCTGCAACTTCTGCAGCACTGTTCTTGCGGTACCCTATATATTACCTATATTCTTGTTCATCCTCAAGTTTTAAGAGTGATAGAAAACAAAAAGTGGCTCTACGTTTCTTTGTTATACATACATGTATCTCTATACATCAAGCTTGACTTAATTTCATGGATGATGGAACATGTGTAGCCTAATAATATCTTGTGGTTGCACCCACATACTCTCAAGCTAAAAATGTTACTTCATTATATACGAGTTGTTCTTTTCATGATTTCTTTACCAATATTGTTCATTAATTTGTTTAGGTTGGGATTCCATGCAAGAGGCTGCTGGAGACTGTGACAGTCAAATGTGGTCATTGCAATAATCTCTCCTTTCTCAGCACCAGACCTCCCAACCAAGGCCAATGTCTTGATCACCACCAACTGAGTCTTCAGGTAAAAAGATTATACAATATATATATATACACATATATTAAATGTTTAAAATACAGGATCCCATCACCATTCTAAAGTTGATTAATATTATTTTTTGATCAAGGAATAAACTGAGCCTTCATCTTTCTCTAGAAGGATTCAGTTGGCAGTGTCGTTATTCTGTGAAAAAGAAAAGATATAAAGGCAATTAATTATATATATCTGAACTAAAATAATTCAAGTAGCTAAGACAAAACGCAGTCAATTTGTTTTCTTTTTTATTATTTTATTTAATTAATTACTGCAATCAACAAGATCAAATTAATATTTGAACAACCCGGAGAAATCACATTACACACTATATCTAGGTCTCTCAGTACAATTTTACAATTTATATACCATGTTAAAATGAGTATATTAATTTATTGAATTATGTATGTGTGTTTGTGCACTGTGAAGGGAGATGCTAGTAGTGAAAAGCGGTTATTCAAGGAGAAGCAAGGGTCCTGGACTGATTTCAGAAATGGCGAATCCTCATCCTCTTCGACATCTTGCCAGCCACTGGTGCCCCACGTACCCTTCGTAGTAAAGCGTAGGAGCCCCAACTTAATTAATTTGGATTTGATTTTAAATATTAACGACAGATTAATCTATTCAACATTTTCTATGTATACAGATATGTGCATGTGAATTAATTTCTTTCTTTCTAATTTTTTTTGGTCATTCATTTCTTGCAGCGCCTGAGAAGAAACACCGACTTCCATCTGCTTACAATAGGTTTATGAAGTAAGAGAGACATATTTTTCGCTCCTTACACACGTTTCTGCAACTATATACAGATTACTAAATTTGGTATTCTTGTGCCTATATATAGCCAGTCTTCACTACTATTTTAACAATTAATATTGGAAACATAAATTTTATGTATATATAGTATATAGGAGAAAAAACAAGCCTGATTAATTTCATTGTCAATTTTGGGAAAATACGGTGCACTGAAATCACTTCATCCACAGTGTTACTGTATTTTTCAACATGTCTATTACAAGTACTAAAAAAATTTAAGCATGTTATGTATATTTCCATCCTTGCACTCGTACTAGGGAGGAGATACAGCGTATCAAAGCTGCCAATCCTGAGATACCACACAGAGAAGCTTTTAGCACTGCAGCTAAAAATGTAAGCTTTTTTATTTGCCTGATTAGCTAGGTTTATAAATACTTGCATTTTATTGGTTCCAATAACTTAATTTTTATTGGCTATAGTGGGCTAGGTACCTTCCAAACTCTGGTTCTGGTTCTGGTTCTGGAAGCACTAAGAATTAATTACGCAGGTAATTAAATAATCCCGTGACCTATCTTTTTATACACACCGAAATATGTGGTATCTTTTTCTAAGATGCTTAATTAGTTGGGAATTTTGTTTTTTTGGCTTACATTTTTCAGGTTTGTACTTTACAAGGGAAATCAGAGGCGTGAAGAGGGCATCGCTGGCTCTAGAGAGCAGTTTTTCATGTCTCATACTTTCTAATCTTGTCATTTTATTTTGTACTGTTGCTTGTTGGTATGTTTTCCTTAATTGGTGAACTTCTGCCTGAGAGTTTGATCTGGAAGGAGTCATATTTAGTAGTAGTATTTTAATTGCCTCTCTATAGTTTCTCTGTATTGACTTCAAGTATTACTTAATGTTGGTGACAGTAGTTTCATTTTCACCAAGCTGGCTGATAGTTTTAAATTAAATAATCGTGCATTTGTTCAATTCATTGATCATTATATATTCAATAACATCAGTCGTCATGTTATTATATATATAAAAGGCCAGTCATGTTATTCTTGAGATAAGAGTATCTCAATCCTCTGAGATTATTCAGTGATGATGGTTAGTAAATGGTAGAAGTATACTTTTTCTTGAACAAGATTCCGATTCTATTGCAAAGTCTTCGACTCCCACTATTATCAATTAGCTAAGAAGTATTTTATTTTATTTTTTAGTGTTTTTTTAATGTAAGAGGAATAGTACTTTTAGATTGCGATATATATATATATTGAAAAATTAAATAGAAGTATATATTCAATAATGTAGTCAACTCATCGAGATCGATAGTTATATAAAACTACTCCATTACCCTCTAAGTTTTTGTAGTTTATTATTAAGAAACAATTTATTTATTAAAGCATAGAGATTTTGTTTAACAAATCAATGGATAGCATTACTTGTAATTAAAAAGGGACGGAAAAAATTGCACCAAAAAAATTATACTAAATTGTATATTAAATAAAATTTATATATAAAAAGAAAGAAATAGAGAGAGTATACCTGACTGACATTGAGAAAATAGTATTTATAACTAAATAATATATATATATATATATAGCTTTTTTTTTTTTAGTTTTTATCAAATAAATTAATTCTAAATAGCTAACTAAGTAGTAGAATGATCTATATTACAATAGTTTATGTTTAGTAATAACTAGCACATATCTTGCGCATTGTTGCGGGGTGAGTTATATAACATTCTTATATATATATCTATATAAAATACAGATTTAAAGATAATTATTTAAAAACATTACACGAAAAAAATTCAAAAAAAGAAAGACCATAATATATATTTCGTGCATTGCCGCAAGGTTAACTAAATGAAAAATTTACAAAATTGAGCAATATGATATTGCTAATTAAGTGTTGTTTGATACAAACATACATTTTATTATAAATATGTATAATAAATGGTAATTAAAATAATGAGTGATTGTTTTTTGAAGTTTGGATGATTAATTTCTACCTTATGTTCTCCATTTGTAGTTTGTTAATAAGACAGAAAAAAACCACCTAAAACAAAAGGAAAAAAAAGTTTCGTCAAATTGGAATGGAATTGAAATATTTCAAAACTTGTTTGGCAAAAATAGGAACAAAAATTACACATGACAAAATTTAAATGATAAAAAAAAAATCATAAAATAAGAATAAAAAAACTTTCACTAAAAGGCAAAAAAGACTTATGAATAATCAGATTAAAAAAAACTCATTGTGCATAAGTCATTAATAAAAATCAAACATGATAAAAATTTAATATAAAAAAAAATCACAAAATAGGAATCAAATAGAAAGAAAATTTTTATTAAAAACTATAAAAGACTTACGATTATGAAATTGTATTTAATTTTAATATAAAAAATTAAATATAATAAAATTTTAATGATTAAAATAAATATGAAAATATAACAAAAAATTTCACTAAAAGTAAAAAGTTCCTTGTTTCATTTGGGTGTTCTACAGATGTAATAGGTGATTTCTAAAGTTTGATTTGGGTAATTTTGTTGCAGCAACAGTAGCAACAACGTTGCAAACATCAAAATTGAGAACATGTGGACATGGTTAATTGTTATCTACATCATACATAAGTCATTTTCCTTGACTTTATAGGGAAAAAAAGAAAAAGAAAACCCAATCAATGCCACATGTACAACTGATTGAAAGAAGGTTAAAGAAAGGGAATAAAAAAGGACTAAAACGAAAGCAAGATAAAAAACATAGGTGAAAAAGGAAGAAAATTAACTAAACGCCAAAAAAAGGACTTAACTACAGTAAAACATTATTCTCTTTTAGTATATGTTATAATACTTCTATGATTAATTTTATTTATTATTAACTAAAAAAAAATCACTGCTATGTGACTACTTTGAAATTGAGATAAATTATAAAAGTTTTAGAAAGAAAGATAAATATTTCAAATTTAACAATATATGTGTGTGTGTGAATTAATTATAAAGTTATGAAGCATATAATTAAAATTACATGATTTTTACTAACATTATGAAAATTAAAAAATTTAAATTTATACAATAGTCATCATAGTTGTAAGGAGTCATGACATAGTGGTTGTAATTACTATTACTTGTTCACTCGATGTTGATTTAGTCGAGAAAATAGTAAATAAGTTAGATTTTAATTGATATATATATATATATATATATCAGGAAAAAAAATGTAATAACCGGTTAATTAGAGCCACAATAACTAAAAATTGCCTATAAAACAGGTTATTTTTATGTGATGATCAAGAAAACAAAATTTGGTTATAGAACAGTTAACGTAACTGTCACTTTTTAAGTCAATATTGAACATAATGTGTTCAATTATTATGATCAATCAAGAATGAATGGTTCCCTCTAGAAAAAGAAAAAGAAAAATGATGTGACGCCATTATTTCATTAAGATAACAACGTTAGACAAGGTGATCTCCTGGCCTATCAAACCTATACCATTTGTTAGGATTCTTTCTGTCTTTTTTTTTTTTTTTTTTTTGCTTACAAAATATTTATTAGGAAGCAATCATGTACTTGCAGTCTGAATCAACAATACATAAACCGTCGGCCCGCCCTAAGACCCAGCGACAATGACAGTCTAAGGCTTTTCAAGAAACCAGGCCGAAGCTGTACAATTCGAGAAACCTACTGAAGGTTATTATTTATATTTTGGCAATTAAGCACTCAAGTAAGGACAGCAAGCTCAGTCTGATAAACCTTCATATTTGGGAGAACCCTAAAACGTACGACCCATGCTCAATGCATTGGCTGGTTATTTGGATTGAGCTACCATCATTTAGACAGCTGCCCAATTTTTGTTGTGGCAATTGATGCATCCTTGCATGTTTCCATTTTTTTCATGTTAATATATACATATATAAAGAAGAAATCAAGCAGCTTGACATCTCTAATTTAGTCATATCAGCTATGGGAAGATTTAAAAGAAAGGACAAACTGGTCGGCACATTTTGTCCAACCAGTATGCCCGTATATTTGTTTATCTTCCTGAGCAAAATCGTCACCTAATCAATCATACCCTGTCATTTGTCAATTGGATCTGCAATCCTCGTTTTTGTTCTGACTATATATTTAACAGCCACAAACACTTCTGTGGATATCTTATTAGAAATCAAATCTTAGCTGGCTGCAGCATATACGCACTACATAGAAGATCAACCAAAGACTAACACTTTTAATTATTTAAGTAGATCAGAACTAATGAGTAGTTATCATGTGCCATTAGCATGCGTCATTAGTGACATCATTGGATCAGAGACCAACTTGTACCCAATGGCAACACAAGTTAGCCCGAATTGGCCGGATAAGAAGATAAGTCTTCTGAGGCTCAAAACACAACATTTGTTTACAATGAAAACATGCTAAATCCAAGGTTATCTTACTTTTGAGAACAAGTTGCTACTCTTTGCAATATAAAAACCAAGATTCCAGTGGGGAGTTGATGACTTAATTCTCTCAACTTTTGAATTTCTGTTCCCTTTTACAACTCACCGTCCACAATCCCCGACCACCAAGAAGAAAAGGGGAGAGCTCCCTTTAAGGAGTGGATGAGGTGGCCACTTGACCTTTTGCTTCAGTTGGAAGTAGAGTAAAGAAAGCAATATTAATAATACCAAGGGCGGAAAAGCAATCCATTCCAATTCCAAAGCATGTTGGGTCAAAGCTCCCAGAACTTCGGGATAGGTTTCTTGTTTCCTTTTTTTCACTAATGCAAATGACTCGAGAGTTGCAGGAGTTTTCAAGGACCAAACTGATATTCCATCCACAACACCAGAGGTGGAGGATTGTATTAAACTACATAAAGAACAAAGACATTAAAGGTGTGTCATCTAGTGGGATCCAGTGTGTAATCTCTTCTAATTAAGATATCAACAACCCTTTCAGTCACTTCATATTTGCCCCTTCAAAATGAAATGGGTCAATGAACCAAAGTCCAAATATTCTCCAACGATATACTCAGTTGTAAGTAATTTAGTAATTGAATTCTTGACCAGCAAATCATTCGCAAAAGAAAGTTGAAATAAGTTATATATGAAGTAACCAGCAAAATCAAACTCGCATAATCTTACAATAATTAAAAATCCATATATTGCTCGTGTTATATACCTTTTTAGTAAAGGAATGTACTGCAAACTCTATCTGAAGTCTCTAAGGGTCAATTGTCTAATGCACCAATGAAGTTAGTAATTATATTTGATGCAGGTATGCAGCTTGGCATCAATTCTCTCCTCTGAACCTGCATGAACACTGGATTTATTATTTTCTCATTAAGACAGAGTAGTGTGCACTTTGTCAAAAAAATAAAAAAAAAGGTATATATATATAATAAAATAAAACACATCCACATTATCCATGCAATTCAAGGCTATCTCCCACCACACTAGATGAGGTTTGCCTTGGAAATTCACAAAGGGGAACCCAAGCTATTTTCTTACGTGCCTTGTTCCTCTCACACCCCGTAAGTGACACCAAAACTGGAGAAATCCTCATTTTCATGCTTCACTTCCACAGAGTTCCTCCGTTGCTCCATCCTCTGAAGATGTGATGATAATTGAAACAAATCCACAGTCGATCCATTTTCTGGAGAATCACAATACTTGGAATTAGAAAAATCTGACTGTTGTAGAAATCCATCTGTTTCAACTTGAAGGTCAGCAGCATGACCAGAACCAGAAACCACAAATGGCCCCATATTGTTGACTTCCATGAAATTCATTCCCGATGAATTGATTCCATTTGGCACGTACTTTTCTGAAGAGCCTACCCCTAAAGATTTGTTAGCAATACCCAAGCTCTGACGGGCACGACCCACTTGACTGATCAAGGGCCTAGCCATTATATTTCCTGCAGAACGGCTCAAGTCCTGTGATTCAGCTGACAGAAGAGAGAGAGCACAGCTAGAGTGCGACACCCCAGCGAACTCATGAATAGTTGTTGCTGTGTTAGAAATAGTGTAGTCTTCAGTTGCTGGTGGAGAAATTCCACAAGTCTTTTGTATCCCCTTGCCATGCAGATGGAGGAGTGACTTTGGCAGCAACTGCCCATTTCTTATGGATATTGCTGATGGAGAGCTGTAAATTGAATTCTCTTCCAATTTAACATGCCTAGACCAATTATCTTCTTCGTAGCTTTTTGGACAAAAAGTACCACCTGGAAGCATGTTTGGAAAAAGAAAAGATGTTCTCTTTGGCAAGGAAGTCCCCAGAAATTTGGTCCCTGCTCAATCCATATTACTGTCAGAAATATGGTAATATATCTCTTAAATTTGAATGAAATCCAAAAGTTAGGCAAGCATAATTTTTTTGAAGCAATACTTACTTTAATGCAAAGGTTAGCCTCAGGATATCTTTATACAAATCCAAACTGCTTACCTCTACTTATTGAATTATTTGTACAGTCCAATTACTTAGTCATTGAACTGAGATGTCATTTAAAAATCTCAATGAAAATTTTTAAGAAAAATCAGAACACAACAACAATGTGTCAGATTCTGCTAGTATAACTGAAAATAAATAGGAAATACTGAAACATAAAGCTGAATTTTGATGCAAGCCGTTTACAGTTTTTGTGCAACAAGACAAGCATTAAGAGATGATCTACCCTTAAAATTTTATTTGTCATAAATAAATAGTTAAATGAATTCAAATCATTAACAAAACATGTCAGAGGAATACTGAAAGATAGTCCTGATAAAATAATTTCAACAACATGCATAATCAGTAATTATTAACAAATTAGAATAATTATTTAGAGGGTAAAATGTCCACTCTCGAGGTCATAGACCTTTAAGAAGCATCATATGACGTTAAAGAAAATTGGCTTTTCCTTTCTTCTTTTTCCATAGGAAGCAGAGAAACTCATGTTTGTTCATTTGGGTTCCATATAAAATTGAATTACATTTCCTAAGTGGATTGATTCAAGAGTTTGAGGTGTAAATACCTTGATATGGATGCAGTAACTTATGCGGCTTGACAGAGAGGGTACCAAATTGAGGCTTCCTCCTACGTTCATTGTGGCCTGCCAGGCGTTTACGACAACTGCGCTTACCATCATCAAACTCAACCAGCAAGTGAAACCTGAATAATCCAAAGATCGCAGGATTCATATCAGAAAGACTCTGAGCTCGCTCAAAAGAAGGGGAAAACAAGGCATTGGAAAATAATATTTTCGGACACCGGGTTGAAACAATGAGGGCTAGTACAGAAGGAACAAAATAAAAAATCAACTAGGCCTGCCATACACTTGATGCATAATTGTCATGGCAGTCTGAACCTATCTATGCACTGAAAATCTGAAACCTCAACCATTGTATGAAACTCAAAATATGAACTATCACCCTACTTTTACTCCATTTTGTGGTGTTATTTCCTCTTCCAGAACAAAAAAAAAAAAAAAAAATAAAATCATCCTGATGTATTCATATTGAATTATCATAATAAGTTCATCACTATCCTTATTAGTGACCCTCTATGAATGCGACAATAAAAACATGGTCTTCAATGACTAAGCACTAAGATAAATACCATGATTGAACAAAAAGTAAGTATTAAACCAACCTGCTACACTGTTGACAAAACCTCTGTTCAATGCCATTAACAATTACTTGAGGAGTTTTCGAGTGAACCTCACAGACTTTATGCCTCTTGTGGTAATCCTTTGAGGAACTAAGATCCTTGTTACAACCATAGACCTGGCAAAAGGAAGTCTGAGAGCGTGAACACGTGGTTCGAGCACGCTTTGCCTGAGCAGTTGGGCTCACTGAAGATAACAATACTTTCTCTTTTGAAAACATACTACCCTGTGCATCTTTGCAATCAGCCAATCTCCCTAGCTTCAGATCAATCAGTGATGAATCCTGACTATTAGATTCCATGAGAGAATTGGAATGATTGGATCCAGATTCCATGGATGAATTGGACGCCATCATAAAATTAGGAGAACCTACTGCTAGTTTACTCGAATTGATACTAACATCGCTACCACCAAACATCCCCACACCCGTTTTGCTACCATGAAAAGGCTTTCTCGGAATTTCAGAGAAACCAAAATCTATAAACTCTGTACTCTCAACTGATTCTGTATCCCATCCTATAAATGCTTTTCTACTTCTTGCAAATGCATCAACAGATAAATCTATTTCATCAGCAAACAGAAGGCCTTTTCCTTCTGGAGCATAACTCCAAAAGTCCATCAGAAGAACAAATGTATAACTGCAGACAGAATGTACAAATGCAAAATGATTAATTTCACAACTGAAAAGGAACACTTATTTAATATCTGTACCAAAAAAAAAAAAAAAAAAGAATGTTCACTTTAATTTTCCAAAACTCATAGAACTAGTAGATAAGCTTATAATTTAAATTTGTGTGTTTCCATTTGTCCAAAAACAAAAACAGAGAAAGAAATAGCAATAACATTAAGTATAAGAACCTGTTGCAGTAAACATAAATAAAAACAAAACCCAATAATTCTACTTCCTATAATTAACATCTCTCATAATTAGAAAAATAAATAAATAAATAACAGTGATGATGCTGACAACAGAACTTAAAAGGGGATAATAAAGAACAGGAAACTTAATGCTTATAGTTTCCGCTTCTTGTGCGAAAACAGAACTACAAAAACTTTTTTAAAAAATAGGCCGAGTCAAGAACATATTTCTGTTTCTTTTATTTATTTTACCCTTCTTTCTCAAATTTTATTTTTCTTTCACTTTCCTTCACCTTTCTCGGCAAACCAAACAAAAAACAACATATATCCCTTGTAAATCTATTTTAAAACTCAGCCTAAAAAACTAACCGAAATTTCAACAACTTCCAGATTAAAAATCCCAAAAGAAACAGGCAAAAAAAAAGAAGAAGAAGAAGAAGAAGTTCTTCTGCTTTCAATAATAATAATGATAATGATGATAATAGCAGCAGACATATATATATATATATATATATAGCAAGACAAGAAATGGACTGTCTCCAGATTTCAAGTTTCTCTCTCTTTTTGCAACAGTTTCTTCTTGAGATAAACAGTGAAACAGAGTGGGAAAAAAGAGAGCCCAAAAAGAAAAAGAAAAAGCAAAGAGGTAGCACAGAGCAGTAAGTAAGCTTTTTTTTCCCTTGCTTACCAGCTGAGGAATAGTAAAGAGAGGAGAGAGACCTATGATTTTCTTTCAGAGAAATAATGGAGAGGTTGGAGCTAATACACAATCACAGTGAGTCAACTTGAATTCCACTGCCACTGCACACACACTCTCTTTCTCTCTCTCTGGTCTATAAAGCATGTCGAGGTCTTTTGTAGCTTTTGAGACCCTATCGTTATTCCTTTTTTGTCCACCTTCTTTCTTTGTATTCCCATTACTACCTACCTTCTGTTTTTGCTTTAATTAATCACTACTCCTCCTTAGTTAGTGAATTAATTAATAGTGATTGTCTAATGTTAATCTTGTGATCCCTCGTCTCGTCTCGTCTCGTTTGATATGATCTGATTCGTGTGCTAATTAATTAGCTTCTTCTCATCCTCCGTCTGCGTGACCCTGTTTTGAAACAAAATCTTTGGCCCGGCATGTTGGACTGATAATGGAAAAACGGAATTGTACTGGGTTTTGGACCCCTGCGGTCCTTATGCTTTTTGGGCTAAGGACCCTTCTAAGGGGTATTTGCATTTTTCCTTTTCTAGACAAACGAAGCCATTACCAGGACAGATAATTCAATGGGAAAGCCTTTATATAATGCCTCTTTTCTTTATTTTCTTTTTTCCCTGATTAAAGCATGAAGCCTGTAACAGCAACCATTCTTCTCCCCATCAAAAAAAAAAAAAAGAGGAAAAAGGAAAAAGAAATTTGTAGTGATGACAGAATAATTGTGTTCATATTGCATATAAGTATGATGAAGATATAAAGTATAACGGTGCTTTAGTTGGCTTTTCAGATACTCTTTGAATTAGAAGACTAATATTATTCTGGATAAAGGCCTTTTGCTTATACATTCAAGTTGTTTAATAGCCTAGCTAGTTTTAATGCGTAAATTCTTGTTGGTTGACTATAACCACTACTACTTAATCATCAAATGGTACAAAAGTATTTCAATGGAGCAATCACAAACAATTTCATTTTGGTGGTAAGATTCCTAGAAGGCCATAACTGTCCAAGGCAATGAGCCATGTGACGTTTATGTTATCCTGGACAAGCAATTCAGGTTGTTAAATCAATCTCTATCTCAATGACACATGATTATAGCATAGCTCAGAAAATAAACTCAATTCCCCGTGTCAGTTTGGGGCTGATCATATCTCAGGAACTAGTTTCTCTTTAAGTTTTGCAAACAAATTAAATAGTCTTTTTATTAATTTTTTAAAAAATAATTAATTTATTATTTTCATTTATTTATATCTTTTTTCAATTTATTTTAAGAAATAAAAAAGATAAAACAAAATATAGATGTTATGGAAAACTTATGAGCAAAACCGACACTTTTTAGAATAAATTAATATCTTAATAATTAAACACGATTAATATTGATAAAAAATTATTTAATTAATTTTTAAAATTAGACGCATTATTTAATCTATTTTACAAAAACAGAGGGATTAATTTATAGTTTACTCACTCCAGCAATGAATTGTCAAACTTTTTTAAAATTTAAAAATTATAATAACAGCTGTCAGTTATGTATATATATATATATATATATTCGTTTTCAAATTTTTTTAATCAAAATAGTTGAGCTGTCTGATAATAAACCATCACCTCACAAAAAAAAAAAAAAAAAAGGTTTAAAACAAAGTTTTGAGAATCGCATCCAAATAAATCTTGATGGACAATACTAACCATTAAGGTAATGGATGTATCTTTTATAAACTAAGGTCAGAAACAGGAGTACATGTTGACTGAAAATGGAAAAACAAAGAAACTGGACAATACAAAAGGGGAAAGCTATTTCTAATAGGATCATGGTTACAGGGAAGATTTAGTTGGATGAAACTCATCAGGCCACCACCTTCGCATGTAACTTCTTTTTAAGCCATGGATTTGTGAAAGTGGTCAGGCAAGGGCAAGGGCAAGGGCAAGGGCAAGGGCAGAATTGCGTACTCCTTGATGGAGAATCAGATAAGATTTCATTATTGGATTCTTTTGAAGGTGTGACAAGACCCTTGGATGCCACTTGTACCTCGGGTGAGCTTACGCGTGTCTCAAGACCCGATGTGGGTGGGAGTGGTGTGGATAGCCAAAGAGTGACCCTGTTGTGTTGTGCTGTGCTGTCTGTCCTCTGCTGACAGGAACCAACAACTCTTACTTTACGATGGACCCTTGCTTGAATGCCAACTAAAAGCCAGCCAGCCAAGAGGCTAAAAAGTTTTGTCCATCCTGTTCAGACTGCCCTCTCAAAAGTTTTGCCCAGCAGGCAACAAAAACCTTTGAAATCTCTCTCTCTCTCTCTCTCTCACTGCCCTTTTTTACAGCTTTTCTTTTACTCTAGCATTGTTCAATAATTCAATCGTTGCCTCCATGTGCGGTGGCTGTGCAACTAAAGTCTGTGCAACTTAAAATTGCCCTCTTCCTTCTAATGATCATATGTTAGCATGATACCGCAATCGTTTTTATTTCATTGCTTTTTCATTGGGAATTAAGAAATACGAATCACCTCAATTTGTTGATCAATTTCTGTTGTTGCTTGATTTGAAAAGGATTAATTAATTAATTAATTAATTAATACCTAGTCGAGCCATGATTCAAATTAAAACTGCTGCAAGTAAACCCATATTTTTTCTTCCTTCATTCAACAGCCCATGATACGCCAGATCAATTAATCATTATGTAGAAGGAAATATTAAAGACCAGAATTCTAATTCATATATACTTGCTTAATCAAAGTAAAACCACTTTTTTCCTTCCATTTGTTGGAGCGTGGCGCCAAGCTTTTGTTTCCTTTTACTGTCCCTGTTTTTTTTTTTTTTTGTTTTAATCTTCTAATTAAGCTTTAACGATATTGATTGAATTTTTCTCAGTATATAATCGATAAGTAGAGGAGGAAATCCTATATTCAACCATCACCTTAATTTTTTTTAAAAAAGTTATATTATTATTTTCTTATAAAAAAAATAGATGCACTGGCAAACTGATACGAACGTAATATTATTATTTTCTATTTTGTCCATCAAGTCTCAAATGGGGAAGCCACGAAAAATTTCAGCCTGGTTTTTTATTCAAACTCTCCATCGTAACGAGGAAGCAAAACCCATCTACCATAGGAGTGACGCGTGGTGAAAATGAGGGCATTTAACATTGTCGACATAGGGTAATTATTCTGGAATCCTAAAGATGGACACACTAAAGTAAAAAGCGTTAATGGCGAGAGAAAAGGGCAGATACTATCAGAGATGAGAGTGAAAGCAAGAGATGGTAACCGACAAAATCCTCCTCATACTTTGTGTGTTTGCGCACTGTGAAATCGCAGGCATTCTAGCCAGGAACTTGCACCTGTCCTTATCATCAGCATGAACTGGGTCCGGTGACATTGTACATCCCTCAACTATAGCATATTTGTCACATTGAACCTGCTACTTCAAGAAAATACGATCCGCTCCTTATATCATTAGAATCGGGTTAAATATGGTCACTTTAGGTTTTTTGATACCAATCTTAATTTCTCAATTCTACATGAAAGAGTTAGAAAACCTGCCAATCACTTAGCTATACATGAAAAAAAAATCCATATTATTAATAAAAAAATAATTTTATTTGTGAGAATAGAAAAAGTAAAAAAGGCAGTTAAATTGAATTTTTTAATTAAATAATTGAATGATGTAGATTTTTTTACTTGTGTGTTCATATTTAATTTTTCAAATTTTATAATTCATAAGTAGATGGATGTAAAATATTTATGATCTTTCTATGTAATATTGTGTGTTTTAATCCGATTTGAATGTTAATATGACCCATTTTCTTATCAATAAAAAACAATAAATGATCCATCTCAAATAGCTAATCTCATATACCATGCCACGTGTACTGTGTGGGTCCGTTTAAACCAAAATCTTAACATAGTTTGATAAAAATAACCAAATTTGACCCGATACCAATGATAGGATCCAATGGCATTTTCGGGAACTACTGGTTTTAAAGTGACAAAAATGCTATAGTTTAGGGAGAGCAAAGTGCCATTAAATGGCATGCACTCTGGAGGCCTGAAAGTTTTCGCC